ATCTTTGATAAAGGTGCAAGTAATGTGAAGTGGAGTAAGAAAAGCCTCTTTAACAAATTGTGCTGGCATCACTGGACGGCTACGTGCAAAAAAATGGGTTCAGGACTCTGCCTAACACCATGTACAAAAGTAAGAACAAAATGGATTAAAGACCTCAACATCAGACCAGAAACCATAAGGTACATTGAAGACAAAGTTGGCAAAACCCTCCATGACATTGAAGCTAATGGTATTTTCAAAGATGCCACACCACTGGCCGAGCAAGTGAAAACAGAGATAGATAAATGGGACTATCTTAAACTAAGAAGCTTCTGCACCTCCAAAGAAACAGTGACCAAAATACAAAGACAGTCTACAGAATGGGAAAGGATATTCGCCGAATACACATCTGAAAAGGGGTGGATATCCAGGATATACAAAATACTGGTTAAACTCCACAAGAAGAAAACATCCAACCCCATCCAAATATGGGGCAATGAAATGAACAGAAACTTTCTCAAAGAAGAAATCCGAATGGCAAAAAAGCACATGAGAAAATGCTCTACATCATTAATCATCAGGGAGATGCAGATCAAAACCACAATGAGATACCATCTCACACCTCAGAGACTGGCCCACATTCAAAAGAACAAAAGCAACCGATGCTGGCACGGATGTGGCGAGAAAGGGACACTCCTTCACTGTTGGTGGGAATGTCAACTGGTTCAGCCCTTCTGGAAAACAGTATGGACGATTCTCAAAAAATTAGAAATTGAGCTCCCATTTGACCCAGCAATACCACTCCTGGGAGTATATCCCAGAGAGGCAAAAATGTATAGTCGAAGTGACATCTGCACTTGTTTGTTCATTGCAGCACTCTTTACAATAGCCAATACAAAAACTGGAAGAAACCTGAATGCCCAAGAACAGATGACTGGTTAAAGAAACTTTGGTACATCTAAACAATGGAGTACTATGTAGCTGTTAGAAAAGATGAAGTCATGAAATTTACATACAAGTGGTACAACATGGAAAGTATCATGCTAAGCGAAATGAGTCAGAAAGAGAGGGATAGACATAGAAAGATTTCATTCATCTGGGGGATATAAAGTAACAAAATATGAGATTAATACCCAAGAATAGCTGAGATCAGCACCAGGAGGATTATTCCATAGCTTAGTGACCAGCCGGGCATTCTAGAGGAAAGGGCAGCTCAGATAGAGAAGGGAGCACCAAATAAAGGGTGTTTGGAGGATCCTACCAGAAGGGGAGATAATGTCGAAAGTAAACTATGGACCGAACATGTTTGCCACTCTATGCCTCTTTTGCAGACCACAACACCCAAAAGGAGAGAGAGAACACAGGGGATTGCCCTGCCACAGAGGCAGGGGGATGGGGGGATGGGGGTGGGGGAGATATTATCCATGGTGGTGGAAAATGGGCACTGGTGGAGGAATGGGTATCTGATCATTGTATAATCGAAACCCAAGCACAAAAAATTGTAAATCTACAACTGTACCTCATGGTGTTTCACTAATAAAAAAAAAAAAAGCAAAAATTCAACACACCACAGCTTCTAAGAGACGAAGAGTTTTCTTGTTATGTTTTTGTTAATGCAAAGAAAAATAAAACCTAACGCACCTTATCTTCTAAGCTATGAAGAATTTTCTTATTATTTTGTAAATGCACATTTTCAAGGGAGCCTGCATATAACACTCAATTAACTTCTCTATTCTATTAACCCTGTTTTTTTAAATCTGACTTGAATATGTATTTTCTTTTGGTTTTGGAGTGATATGGATATGGAGTCTCCCAAGTGGTACTCTGGTGGCCTGAGATTTCCCAAGCTTCTCGGCCAACTGGGCAGGCAGATCAATGCCAAGCCCTGAGAAGCAAGAGATTCCCAGACACCCCCCAGCAAAGATCCTGAGCATCCAGGGCTGCCCCGGATATTCCTGAGACCAGTTGGTGCCAGGAATCAAACCAGGGTTGGTTATATACTAGCAACAGGCCCCATCGACCTTGATTTTGTCAAGATCCTGCACAGAGAATGAAATAAATTAACACATGCTAATGCACATTCACATCTGATTTTAACTTCAAGTGTTAACTGATTTGTCTTCTCCATGGAAGAATATGGATACTGTGGTTTCCAGTGGCCCATTGCCAGAGTTTAAGACAGGGAATTTATGGAAGTGGTCTGAACTTCACCTCAGGACAACACCATTTCTTGGCACCGCATCTGCATAAGGTAACTTTGGGTTTGTAGATTCTCTTTTTCTCTGCCAGACAACTACCTGTCCTTCCTGTGTCAGCTGCCTCAGACTTGGCTCCTAACAAGGTAACAGGCTTCATCTGAATAGGCCCCATGGCATGACAGGGCATGTGTACTAGAAGACACCTAGAGAAACACCATGTAATCCAAGTCTCTCATGATAGAGACAGACTGTCTTAGGTGATGACTGAAGTATCAGATTCCTCACAGAGCAGTTAGGACCTCGTCTAGTCTAAATGTTCAACAGGATGTCGCTGTTACTACAGGATCTGGGATGCCTCCAAGTCCTGCTGTGCGGTCAGTCTGGAATGTACAAGCAGAGCTACAACACTGAGTTACCATGCTTCTTAGCTTGCACTGGAACTTTAGTGACAATGTGACATTTTGTGTAACTAAAGCGAAACTGAAATCTCCAAGTATTTGTGTATTTGATGAATAAAATAGCAAAATAAATTACAGATCCTTAAACACGGTAAAGCAAAACCTTGAGAAACATCGAGTTCACTGAAAATAAAAAGGTAAGGAAAATATTGGGAATGATTCAGTCATAGACCATCTTCAACTGACAGCTGAGAAATCTAGGGTCCATAAGGATTCTGTGCCTAGACCAAGGTGAGTGTAGAAATGGGTGATGGAATATAACGACTGAACTAGATCTTAAAATTCTGGGTGTTGTTCCAGGGCTATTACTGGCCCACCGTTACCATAGTCAGAAATCCTCTCCCTTTGGAGGAGGTGTGGGGTGGGGGACGGGGGGAAGGGTTAGGTGGAGAGGGGTTTTGGAATGGAGGCAGAGGGACATACCCAGTGGTGCTCAGGAAATAAAAGCAGTGCTAGGAATGGAACTCAGGACTTTCACAATCTTAGTGTGTGTTCTGGCCCTCTGAGTTATCTTCCTACTTGAGGAATCTTCCTTCTTAAAAAGATCTGTGATTTGGGGCTAGAGCAATATTACAGCAGGTTAGCATGTTTGCCTTATATGCAACTGACTCAGATTCGATCCCTGGAATCTCCTATGGTATCCTGAACACCGTAAGGAGTGATTCCTGAGAGTAGAGCAAGGAGTAACCCTGAGCATTGCTGTGTGTGCCCCCACCCCCAAAAGAAAAAGATCTGATTTGGGTACCAGAACGATAGTACAGCTTGCTTGCACATGGCTGACCCTGGTTCAATCCCAGGCATCCCAAATGATCCCGAGTACAGCCAGGAATAACTTTTGAGTGCAGAGCAGTGCAAAAATCACTGAGCATCATCTTGTGTGACGCCCAAACATACATATGTATACATATATATACATACATATACACATACACATATATGTACACACAGATATACATATATATACCTGATTTTATTTTTTCATCAACATATATTAGGTTATGTTTCTGACTACTAAGCCTTTGTTTCCTCATCTGTAAAATGGATATCTAAATGATGCCTTCATAAAGAGAGGTTCCCTTACAGCTATTATGTGTATTAAATAAGATCCTGAAGTTAAACACTTTTAACACCTTTTAACACAGCCATGCACATAGTAAATAAGCAGAAATGGCCTTTCCGTGAGAAAAGGAGCAGCTCAGCAAGAATCCTGAGGGCTGGCAGTTGTGGTAGATTGAGTATTACCTGCATCCTCAGACAAAGAACCCTGATTTTCATGCAGTTTTTACTGATGTATGGGCTGGAGTGATAGCACAGCGGTAGGGCGTTTGCCTTGCACGCAGCCAACATGGTCGACCCAAGTTCGGTTCCTCCGCTCCTCTCGGAGAGCCTGGCAAGCTACCGAGAGTATCTCGCCCGCACGGCAGAGCCTGGCAAGCTCCCCATGACGTATTCGATATGCCAGACACAGTAACAACAAAGTCTCCAATGGAGACCTTACTGGGGCCACTCAAGCAAATCCACGAACAACGGGAGGGCCTTACCTTACCTTAATGCTCTGCCCAGCTGCAAGACCACAGAGATAGAGGAGGTGGCCAATTAAAAGGAAGAGAAGTTGGTAGTGATTCTGAAAAATCTCGTATAAAGGGTTTTATGGGGGAAACTATGAAAGAGAAATATGAAGCTCTCAGCAAGTAGGTAGTTCTGGGCTTGGAACTCCCTTTCCCAACTTCTCTGGAGATTGGCTGAGAGCTCCGTTTGCACGCCACGTGCAAACTCTAGGAGCAACTGCTACTTTTGGTCGCTTTTTGCTCCAGTCACATGCACCTATCCTATACGAAACGTCACGAAGATAGAAGTAGCCTATGTTTCATGTTTTGCATCAGCACCACGACCGACTCAAGATCAGGGAGCAAGTCGGGTAGCCTCGGAGGGTGGGGATGGGGTGGGGTGGGGGGGTTGATTTCTCTATGCTCGAATCCAAACGAATCGCTAGGGAACTTCAAGTTCTGCCACCTGAACTGATGCCCCAAAGCCCCACACGAGAAGCGGCGACGCCAGGGTCGGTGGCGTCGCTGAGCAGCGGGGTCGGGAGGGCGGTGGGGAGCAAGAAAAACCTCGCGCCGCCGCTTCCGGGCCGCGTCTGCCAAACACCGGGAATCGGGCCAGACTCCGAACTTCGGGGCGGCTCCGGGTCCTGCCGCGTCCCGCGTCCCCGGTGGCAGGGGCGCGGCAGGAAGGCCCACGTGGGCGGGCAGGGCGGGTGGGGGCGATGCCCCCGGTGCCCGCGGCGAGGCCTGGCCACGCCCACCGGCTCCCGGGCCGCGCGCCGCCCGCAGCCCCGAGCGCGCCGCCGAGCCCGCGTTACCTGGGAGCTGCGCCGCCGCCTCCTCCCCGCGCGTCGCGCCCCTGGGCAGGGCGGCCAGGAGCGGCAGCCAGAGCAGTGGCCACCGCATCCCGCCGGGCCCCGGCCGAGAGTTCTTAAAATGGCCGGGCCAGGAAGAAGCGCGCGGGAAAGGCCCAGGCGCCGCCTCCCGGCCCGGGCGGAGGAAGAGGAAGAGGAGGAGGGGATGGAGGGGAGGGGGACCGAGGAGGAGGGGGGGGAGAGAGGAGGGGAGGAGGAGAAGGAAAGGGGGAGGGGAGGGGGCGAAGAAAGGAGGGGGGGAAGGGGAGGAGAAGGGAGAGGAGGGGAAGGAAAGGAGGAGGGGGACGAGGATGAGGACAGGAGGAGGGGGGAGGGGAGGAAGAGGAGAGGGGGGAGGGGAGGAGAAGGGAGAGGAGGGGAAGGAAAGGAGGGGGAGGAGGACAGGAGGAGGAGGGGGGAGGGGAGGAAGAGGAGGAGGGGGAGGGGAGGAAGAGGGGGGATGGAGGAGAAGAGAAAAAGGAGGGGGGATGAGGAGGAGGGGAGAAGGGAGGGAGGAAGAGAGGAGGGGGAGGGGGAACGAGGACAGAAGGAGGAGGAGAAGGGGAGAGGAGAGGAGGGGGCCAAGGAGGAGGGCGGAGGGGAAGTGGAGGAGGAAGAAGGGAATGGAGGAGGAGGAAGAGGGGGAAGTGGAGGAGGAAGAGGGGAATGGAGGAGGAGGAAGAGGGGGGATGGAGGAGGAAGAGGGGAATGGAGGAGGCGGTGCCATGGCTGCTCCTAGGTCTGCCCCTAGGTCTGCCTGGGCGGGCGACCCCCCACCCGTCCCTCACTCCCAGTGTCCCAGGCGCGTAGCCCCTGAACCCAGGGACCTCTGAGCTTCACGGAGAAGCGGCCTGGTCCTTGGCCATCGGGGTTTGGGGGGGTCACCCTACGGGCGACCACCTTGGAGAGGGGAGGGACAGCCCGCAGCCAAAAGTGGGGCTCTTTTGTCACTCCCCAATTTGCTTTCCTTTTTGGGGTTTTTTGTTTGTCAAACCCAGTAAGATGGGATTGCGCACGTTCTAGGTGATTTGCCCGCCCCCCCCCATCCCTCATATTTGGAGTCTAAGGAAACATATTAAGGGAATGACACTGGTTTGCGAAATCCAGATTGTACAAACGGCCTTGCCTTGCAAGGATTCCATCACCAGCATCCCGTATGGTCCCCCGGGTTTGATCCTCAGCATCCCGGATGGTCCCCTCCAGAGCACGCCAGGAGTAATTCCAGATCACAGAGCCAGGAGTCACCCCTGACAGTGGCCAGGTGTGGCCCAAAGCCTAAATAAATAAATAAGGGAGTAACAAACGGACAAAGACATCCAAACTCGAGATTTTATCTCTAGAACTGAGCTGACATGGTGTGGGAGCTGGTGATAGAGACAAACGGAAACAGGCAGGGCAACGTTAGGGATTTGGTCCTTGCTGAAAGGAATCACCCGGTATGGAAGGTCACATCGGAGGTCTCAGTGGTGCCTGATAACATGGATGATGGAGGCCCGCCTGAATGCGACACCAGAGAAAAATCATGTCATGTCACCATCCTCTCCCCTGTCTTAACGGCCAGCAGGAGCACAAGAAGGAAATGATCACCCATCCACTTTTGTTTAAAAAAGATATAAAAAGGGAAGGGCTTCAGCATGTCTTCAAACCGTGCTCTAGAAGATCCCTCCTATAATATCTAGGAGCTTCGCTGCCTTTCTTTTCGTTCCTTTGCCTTTCCCTAAAATCTTTTACTGAATTCTATGATTTGCTCTCTGGTCCCTTGCTTTCAATTTTGACTGCTTGAAGCCAAGAACCTAAACATCTGCACCTGCTATAACACTGGGTAGGCCCCTTGGGACACTGGTGAAAGGAAGTGGGCTCTGGGTGTAGTGCTGGTATTATGTATGTGTAAAAAGCATACTTAACTATTGCAAATCCAGTACTGCGATACAAATGATAAAATGCTAAAAACAACAACCACCATAAGATGTTGGCATATGGATTTATATGCTTCTAGTTCATATATTCTCTGCATCACTCTAAAGGGGCTCTGTGACATTCTCTCCCCAGAAGGCAGTCCTTCAAAGGAGCTTGCAACAAAAATAAAAATGAGGGGCCAAAGCATGGTACAAGGGTTAAGACTCTTGCCTCAGTGCAGTTTAATCCCAGGCATCACGTATGGTCCCCTGAGCTGAGATCTGCCAGGAGTGCTCCCTGAGCGTAGCTGGGTTTGAAATATCAAAAGTCATTTAAAAAAAAAATCAAAAAACCCCAAACAAATCCAGGATACAGATTAGGTGAACACCAGGCAGGGGATGTGGGGCGGAACTTATGGGAGAAGTTGATTAAAAAGTAGAAACTTCCAGTTACATGAGAAACAAAGTTCTTGAGGTATAAGAATGTAATTAGTTTTGTTTGGGTAGACAGAAATGGGTCCTCTTCAAGCTCCAGGAGCCTATTAATATGATTATTTCCTACTAAATATTTGCTAAAATAGAAAGTCATTTCTCTTCTCTAATTCGGTCTGCTGAGGCACCTCAGAGATCTCAGTTGCAATAGAAACCATCTCTGAAGATAACGCAAACCTCCTTCTCTCTGTCTAACTGGGGCTCCCTACTTAGATTTTCCCTGATTTTCTAAGTAAAGTTTGACTGAATCAAGTGCCCTCAGGATCCTGGCATAAAAGCTCAGGCATGAACGGCTCTTAGGACGTGAAGATGTCTTCTTGTGAGAGTCTCTGGGATACAGTTTTACAAATAAACTGTTATTAAAGGAGCACCCACCCTGCCTGACCCTGCACATTGCTCCAGAGAAGCAGCAGAAGCCTGGATCCAAGTGTGAGGTATGTGTTTTATCTGACACTAGGGCTTTTTCCACTAGCTACATCCACGTTGATTTAATTTTGGGGATGGCACTGTGGGAACACGGCTAAAATAAACTGATTCTTGAATGACGAATCAGTTTCCCTGTAGCTGTATTTCATAGAGAAATAAATGAATAGTATGCAAAGTGAATAGTTAAGGTGCCATTCATGTAGTATATCCTTTGTAGTATATCCTTTGTATCTGTAAAGAAGTTAAACTGGAACACCACAAATTTTTTCTGTTAGAAAAGTAATAAATATGTTTTCCAGAGATAACAAGAATATTAGAAGGTGGCACTTCTGTTATTGGAAGACAATTATGAAACCCTACCTAACTTCCCCCAAACAAATATTCCTGTCAGGGAAGTCAGTGGTAGAGAGGCAGAAAACTACTAATAAGGATTCCATAGTGAAGCTCCACTGCTTCTGGGGAGGGAGAGAAAAGCAGAAACACTCTGCTCTGCTCATGGCAGGAAACACTCCACTCAGCATCCTGAATGACAGTGAAAGGTTGGCAACTGCTGGGAAATCCTCTCACTCAAGACACACCACAGATACCGAGCAGGATTTGGCAGCAACAAAGCAGAGGGCAGAAATGCTGAGAAACCCCCCACCTCTATGCAATTAAACACTAATACATACAGACTCTGACTAAGACAAAGTATGGAACATGGAGACATTCTTAGTCCTCCACCAACCAACTCCAGTAACAAGTAATACCAGCCTGTGCTGAGGGAAGGGTGTGGTGGGGAGACCCCTACGAAACACAAGCATGCAAGAACTGCTAGAACCTGAGGAACACAGAAAAAGTCTCCAGACCGCATACTAAGCATTCATAACAGAAGAAGTTGAAACCACAGAATCAACATACAAATAGCTGGTTGCATTTCTATATGCAGAGAATGTATTATCAAAAACAGAACTGAAGAAAACAATACTGTTTGCAATTGTGCCAAAGTGAATAGAATACCAAGCAATGAATCTTACCAGGAAGGTAAAAACGTCTAAAAACTATAAAATATTTTTTAAAGAAATTGAAAAAGACACAAAAGTATGGAAAAATATTCCATATCTATGGATCCAAAAAAAAATTGTTGAAATGGCCATTTTACCTGAAGCAATATACAGATTCAATGTCATCACTGTCAAAATCCCAACAACATTCTCCCTAGATAAAGGTAAAGGTAAAGGCCCTCCCGTTGATCGTCGATTTGCTGGAGCGGGCCCAGTAACATCTCCATTGGAGACTTTGTTGTTACTGTGTCTGGCATATCGAATACTCTCGGTAGCTTGCCGGGCTCTCCGAGAGGGGCGGAGGAATCGAACTCGGGTCGGCCATGTTGGCCGCGTGTAAGGCAAACGCCCTATCTATATGGAACTACAAAAGACTTTGGAATGGCCAAAGAAAGAAACTCTGGGACAAAAGAAACAGTAATGGGGGTAGAATGCTGCCTTACTTACTTCAAACTATGCACTACAAAGCTTTAGTAATCACAACATGGTATTGGAATGCAAGCTCACTGGTCAATAGAACAGAAAGAGAGCACAGAAATAAACCCACATCTATGTGAATAACTACTTTCTGACACAGGAACAAAGAGGGAAGATGAATAAGGCGAGAAAAGACTTTTAAAATAAATGATGTTGGGGAAACGCGAGAGTTCTATGCTGAAGAATAAAACTTGACCACTTTCTTGCATCATACACAAAAATTAATTCAAAATTAATTGCATATAAACCCTGAAACCATAAAACACATAGTTGAAAACATAGGTAGCTCATTGACAGCCTCAGGACTGTCTTTATGCATTCTTCTTCCACAAGGGCAACAAAAGCAAAACCAAACAGAACTACGTCAAACTGAATAGCTTCTTCATGGTGAGAGAAGTCATAAAGTGAAAAGACAACCTATTTTTGCAGAAAATAGTGTGAGTAAATAAAATATTTTATTTATTTATTGTTGTTTGAGTCACACCCAATGAAGCAGGGGTTACTCCTGGCTCTGGGTTTAGGAACTACTCCTGACAGTGCTTGGGGGACCTTATGGGATGCCAGGGATTGAACCTGGATCAGCTGTGTATAAGACAAAAGCCCTACCCACTGTACTATCACTCTAGCCCCTAAGTAAATGTTTTTAGCAACGTAAAGTTAGACACCCAGAATCTGCCCTCCAGACACAAATACAGCCCAGCAGAAGTAAAACCCCAAATA